AATTAATATGGGCAAACAGGCACCTACTTCAGACAGTTATTTGAAAATTAAATAAATTAACACACAAAGCACTTAGGATGGGGCATAGTACATAGTTATCTGTTAGCCACTTTTCCTTGCTACACACCACTGTGGTATCACTCTGCCATCTACTCAGGACTCGCGAGACATGGCCTTCACTAGCCCATAAGTCCATGTCCTTAAGCTTGGCAGTCGGGCACTGCATGATCTACTCATTCACTCACACACCATCCATTTTATACAAGAGTGGGAAACGGACACATCGGCAGAGTCCTCCTCCTCCAATGTCGACAATTGATTACAAAGACAAGACATGAACATATACTATTATCTCACAGAATGGATGTTCACCTACAGCTATTATCCAAAAGAAACCAACAAATCCAGCTTCAGCATAATTTTGAAAGATGCCAAAATCATTCAAAATAATCTACTTTCACCAGTGTTATTTTACTTTCCTCCCCAGAGAAGGAAGACTTAAACCTCACCTTTCCTTAACTTTTATCTATTTTAAAGTCCAATTCAAACACTAGCACTCTTTAGTACTTAAGCTTACATCAGAATCAAGTGTTCTCAAGGTCAGGTTTTCCTTCTCTATCTAAAATATAAACTCCTTGAAAGAAAGAACAATTTCTTATCAGTTCTTCCCCTATCACCACTAGGCCCTCTACTAAGATGATCGTGATAGAACAGGTCCTCCAAAATAGTTCAAAAGAAAAAAAAATGAGATTGGAAGCAGACAAGTAGACTACTATTCAACTACTAACTTGTCACTTATCCCCAAAGCTTTAAGTCAAACAATGTCATCCACATAACAAGGAGGCAGTCCACTCCCTGGCCTTCTATGCAACCACTCTACCTCAAGTGAAGAGAAGGATTAATACTCGTTCTATTATCTACCATCTAATGTGAAGTGCTTGGCCGCCAAAGTAGAGTGAAAGATAACAGGCAGGACAATGACAAACTACTATCTCTGAAATGGCATCTTGGGTTAAACATTGGGCTGCTAACCACAAAATTGGAGGTTCAAATCTACCAGCCACTCTGCTTCTTAAAGATCCACAGTCTCAGCGTTGGACAGGGCAAGATACGACAAAATAATAATTTATAAATTATCAAGGGTTCATGAGGGAGTAGGGAGCAGGGAGGGAGGGGAAAAAATGAGGACCTGATGCTAGGGGCTTAAGTGGAAAGCAAATGTTTTGAGAATGATAAGGGCAATGAATATACAAATGTGCTTTACACAACTGATGTATGTATGGATTGTGGTAAGAATTGTATGAGCCCGTAATAAAACGATTTAAAAAATAATAATTTAAAAAAAAAAAAAGTAGTCTCAGAAACCCTATGGAGGAGTTCTGCTCTGTACTATAAGGTCTCTGTGAGTTAGAATTGGCTCAATGGATTTGTTTGTTTGTTTTGGTTATATCTCTGAATCATCATTTTGAGGATTAAGGTGTACCTGCCCCAAGCCCTGGTATTTTCAATGACCTCCTATGTATGTGAAAGCTGCACAATAAAGAAGGAAGACAGCAGAAGAACTGTGCATTTAAATTACAGTGTTAGAGAAGAATGATGTACACACTATGAACTGTCAAAAGAACAAACAAATCTGTTTGTAAAGAAATAAACTCAGCATGCTCCTTAGCGGTGAGGATGGCAAGACTTCATCTCATGGAAGTTAGGCATGTTATCTGTCTCTGGAGAAGGACACCATGCTTGGTAAAGTAAAGTCAGTGAAAATAAAAAGACCCTTACTGAGATGGACCAACAGGGTGGCTGCAACAACGGGCTCAAAGACAGTAACAATTGTGAGGATGGTACAGGACTGGCATGGTTTCCTTCTGCTGTACACAAGGCTACTGTAAGTCAGAACCAACTCAATAGCACCTAAAAACATTAACAACATACCCCTGAAAAGATGCTTTAGGGAAGATTATCCAATTCTGTTTATGGCAAACCTATCATCCTCCAATATACAGGCTTAAACATAGTAGTAACACATTTCATGAATTTAGCATTAAAAAGTGTCATCTAAAATGAGGAGCTGATACCAAGGGCTCAAGTGGAAAACAAATGAATTTTGAGAATGATGAGGGCAAAAAATGTATAAATGCTTGACACAATGGATGGATGTATGGATTGTGACGAGAGTTGTACGAGCCCCCAATAAAATGATTTAAAAAAAAGAAAAATCTGATAATAAAAAATTTCCCAACATCAAAAAAAAGTATCATCTGAATTTTCATCTGCTTCATTACATTTTATCACTTTTCTACAATGAACATACATTACCTGTATAGAAAGTTTAAATGTTTATTATTTCTCCTAGCTTTTAGTAAACTCCCATGATGACCAATATGTAATGCAATAGTCACACACAAATGAAAGTCAACCAGCTCATTACTCTAATTTTCCACTTCCCAGCTTTCTACTTTCCATTGACCGAAAGTGCCAATCTGGACAAAGTTCTCAATTTCATGTGTTTGCACTAAAAAATTATTTCTACATATGCCATCACACACAAATATACACAGACACACACAAATTAATTTCTCATTGCCTTCCTAGGATTTAAAAGCCTACAGCATACTATTAAGAGCAACCTAGAAGAAAGTCCCTCTCCCAAAGTACTGAGTCTTTAAGAAGGGTCAGCTAGCTGCTAAGTAACTTCAGTGATTATCTCAATCCTAAAACAACAGTAAGTACTACTCTCACCTGATAAAAAACTAAGGCTTAGAAATGTCAATTAAAAAAGAGGAAAACAAGTCCATGATTACTTTCTGTTATAAAAAGAAATTTTCTGGAATTTACAGTAGGCCCAGAGATTTTCAATAGTATCTTTAGTTATGAGGTAATTGCAGTAGATATGTGATCAACTGTCTCCTTTGGAATTGTATACAGTGTCTAGCTTCATAAACAGATACTGGGTGGAAAAAAAAACACAGATACTGGGGGATCAAACTTAAATTTTGAATTTTATATCTAATTCTCAAAAGAACTTGATGCCTTGGCAGGAACCGACTGGTCATTTGCTTTTATTACATTGGGTGGTACAATGAAGTAATAGTCTTATAATCGACTATTATTGTGCTAATGAAGAAAGTAAAAATGAAAAAAAAGTAAAAATGGTAGAAATCAATTCTTCTAATTAACATATTTTGGTCAAGGTTTTAACATGTCATCTCCATTCACACACTATACAGTCACTATTCATATATGAGTCATCTCAAAGTTAGCTATTGTGAGGGCTTTATTAGACTGCTCATGCAATGACTATTTCTCAAATAAGTGAAAGAAAAGCTCAGTCTCTTTTAAGTGTTGGATCAAAGTAAAGGAAAAAAGTACATGTGCAGAGAATGCACTGAGATTAAACCTGCTATCTGACTCGGTTGGACCTTAATGGTTGCCTAGAGATACAAAAAGGTAAAGGAATAAAAGCTAGTTATGGTATTAGTAGTTCATTGATTTTCTTGAACTAGATTACTGGGAAGATGAGCTCTGTGAATATTCACTTGAAGGATTGTGAGTAATCTATGAAGTTTCAAAAGTACCCAAATTTTCATTTTCAAGGAGGGAAATGGGGGTCTGTGCCACAGGTAATGAGCATCTGACGTTGTACAGAAAAATTAACATACTTTTCAGTTGTCATCCTACACAGAGTAGGGTGCAGGTATTATGCAAGCACAAAGCACTTTAGCAATCTCTTCCTCCTTTCTTTAAAAATAATTTATATAATAACTCCACAATTCAGCAACTGCAAAAGTATGCTTTCTCTCTTCCTTTGAGACTCAGATGCCTCTCAATTCAAAACACTATTCTTGAAGATTTAAACTCTTCTTTTAAGCAAGACAATCATTTAACCCAGAAAGGGCCAAAAAGTCAGGAGATGAAACCCAAGATATTCCTATTAGTCTTACATAACTTACTTTTAGTTGGAAATGAGTCAGTAGCTCATCAAAAACATTACGTTTAAGACCAAAACTGAGCTCTCTCCTATACGCTCCACACACACACACACACACACATCGAGTTTTAAAAGCTGAAAACGACTTAACATAATCTTTTTCTTTGTATTCTTGAAATATAAGCACCCGGACATATGGTATTAGGCCAAGTTAAAATGTTAAAATGGTTACACTTGACACGAAGAACACTGAATTGGCCCTATCACAACTAGGTAATAAAATAATAAATGAAATTGGATGATTTCAGGAAACAAAGATGTTCACTTCCACACACTTACTTTCAAATACCACCTTTGTAAGTACGTCTTAAGTAGTTTTTCTCAGAACAGTGCTCCAGGAAACATGGAAAAGCAATTTTCAACAGCAAAGTACAGCTGTTCACCCAATGGTAAAGGAACCTCAGAAAATGTAAAAGTTACAGTTCTTCAAACTTGATTAAATTACGTAGCTTTGAGTACTGAAAGTTGCTGCTGTAGGCAAACATGCATCAAATCTTGCCAAAAAGAAAGGCTGTTTACCCAAGTCATTGCCCTTACTAGAAAGGCTCTGATCACAACTCAACCAAAAGCTGTGTTAAGTACATCTCCACGCTGAGCCACTCCAACTCCAGGGAAATGCTGCCGGGATTCCCGCAGTGCTCTGGGAATTGCTTCTGGCTATCTTAATCAAGGGGGGGGGGGGGGGGGGGCTGGCTTTTAACTTTTCCAAAAAGTTGTCTTAGGAAATCCCAAACCCTCACTATCTAGTGTGAGGGTTTGGGATTTCACTGGGAATGACTACACTATCAAGCTATCACTGCCCTCCCGGGCATTTAATTACAATACCGGCTCTGTTTTCCATTCAGCCCGTTCAATGAAATTTGCACCAGAACCAGGCACACCAAAAAAGGGGACTCCGTGCCCTGGCTGCCAGTTGTCTGAGTGCGAGAACCCTGGGGTGCTGCCCGCTTGATGCCTCTCACAGACAAGCAACGAAAAAAGTAAAGACAGTTGAACAACGTGGTGACATTACCTTGCCCGACTTGTGATCAAACCAGACGAGCGCGTGGTTCCTTGACAGCACTTTGCAGTCGAAGGTGGCATTATTCTGCGCGGGCCGACAGCGGGCCACCGAGCGGCCGATTTTGATGGGCTCGTCCAGGTAGACATGGCGCTCCTGAAAGGGGTGCGAGTTCGGGCGGCAAGTGAAGATGGCCAGGGCTGACGGCATCGAGGACAGACGGGGTTGTCTCTCCTAGCAGAGACAAAGAGGGCTTCCTCCGGATCCGGGCTGCTCTTCCCAAGCCTATCCCCCCCAAAACGTTAAACTAAAGCTCACTGCGCATTGTCTAAGCATCACCAGCGGGCATCAACAACTCTCCACTTGGGCGAGGAGACCGGCGAGCGCAAGCCCCATCACCTCCTTTAAAAGCCGGCAGCGCCCAGATCACAAAAAGCCCCCGGTCGGCAGGGCTCAATCCATCCTCTTCCCCGGACAACAATCGGCTCCAACATCGGGCGGCTCGGGCCCAGAAAACTCCTGGAAGGCAGTTTGGGGACTGGAGGTGCCGACGCAGATGAGTCACACGCCAATTCTCGGGTTCGGTTTGGGATCGCGGCCGCGCTCCCCCCTCGGTGGCGGAAACGTT